ACGTTTGTGGGACTGAGGCAGGAAGATTGCTATAGGTTTAAGGCTAGCCTGTACTACCTAGCAAGATGCTGTCTCAAAAACAAACAAATAAACAAACAAACACGAGACTGTAGTTGCTAGAGCCAAAGAAAGGTAGAAAGGAGGGGAATAGGGAAAATGAGGTTAATAGGTACAGGAGTCAGTTGAATAGAAAAATGTTATGCAGCACAGTAGGCCAAATGTGGTTAACAAGAGTTAGTTGAATGTATCAAAAAGATTTTTTTTGTGTGGCACCAGGGATAGAACTCATGACCTCGCACTTGCCATCAAAAGGATTTTTTTTTTTTTTTTTTGTCTTTTTCCTTTTTATCGGTACCGGGGATCAAACTCACGACTGCCTGCTTGCAAGGCAGGTACTTATGCTGCTGAGCTAAATCCCCAGCCCATCAAAAGGATTTTTGAGTTATTGTGTTATCAAATATTAAATGTCTGAGGTGTATTAAAATATCATATTGTACCTCATAAATATGTAGAATTACTATGTGTCAATTAAAATGTATTTTAGTAGACATATACCTATTAAAAGAAACAAAGCTGGGGATTTAGCTCAGCGGCACAAGTGCCTGCCTGGCAAATGTAAGGTCCTAAAATTTGAGCCTCGGCATCAAAAAAAAAAAAAAAAAAGTAACATATTTCTATGTAAGCCCCCCTCCCCTCAGTGCTGGGGATCTAAAGCATGCTAGGCAAGTATTCTGCCATCAAATTATACCCCAACTCTGTTTCATTTTTATGCTTAAATATCTATTTATTTATTTGCTTTTTGAGATGCAACCTCTCTGTCTCGCTCAGGCTGGCCTTGAACTCACGGCAATCTTCCTGCTTTAATCCCCTGAATGCTGGGATTATTGGTGTGCATGCTCCACTCCAAACTCTACTTATTTATTTTCCCCCAACTCTATTTATACTTAAATATATATTTAAAAAGAAAAAAAACCCAAAAATAGAATCTGAAAATTCCTGGAAATGAGTAGCCATTTTTATCTATATATTTAACTATAATTTTTATTATAGGTAATGATTTCTCGGTTTTTTTTCTCACCTTATGATACACTAATATCACTTTCTATGACAATAGTGTGATATCCTACACCATTTTTTTGAGACAGGGTCTCACCATGCATTTAGTCTGGCCTTAAACTCACTATGTAGCCCAGGCTGGCCTCAAACTCATGGCGATCTTCCTGCCTCAGCCTTCTGAGTGCTGGGATACAGGTGTTCACCTCCACGCCCTGCTTTGCAAAGATTCTGGCAGGGCAACCAGCCAACCACTCGCTCAGATCAGTTGTATGTTCTGAAGGGGGGTGGGGGGATGAAGTGGTTTCCTGTCTCCCGCCTTCCTCTTCCTGGTGGAACGGGGTCGGGGAACAGGCATGGGTGTGGCCTTATGTTCTTCCAAAGGATCCTTGCCTCTGCTATTCCTCCCCCACACATCTCTTTAAGACAAGATCTCACTGTCCAGTCCAGGGGAAACTTGAACTCACTTTACAGCCCAAATTGGTCTTGAAGTTGCATGGATCCTCCTGCCTCAGCCTACTGAGTGCTGGGATAACCCACCCAGTGCCATCATGCCTGGCCTGCTATGCTGTTTTGTTTTGAATTCTGGAGTTTGAACCCAGGGACACATTACTAGTGACCTACTTCGGTAACCCACCTCACTATGTAGTCTAGCCTAGCCTCAAACACATGACACACTCCTCTTGCCTCAGCCTCCCAAGTGTGGGATTACAGACATGCACCAGCATGCTCAGTTTATTTTTAAATTTTCAAAGTGTCTGGCTACACTACTGAGTTGTCCAGGATGGGCTCAAATTTTTAATCCCCGTTTTAGCTTCCCAGAGTGCTGGGATTATAGGTGTGCACCTCTCCTAGCAATCCCTAACCCTTTGTTTTTTGAGACAGGGTTTTCTTTTTTTGTCTTTTTTTTTTTTTATCAGTACTGGGGTTGAACTCACAACCACACACTTGCAAGTTAGGTGCTTATGCCGCTGAGCTAAATCCTTAGCCCAAGACAAGGTTTTAACTGCCCAGATTATCCTCAAGTTTGTGATTCTCAGCTAGGGATTTAGCTCAGGGGCACAGGCACCTGCCTTGCAAGTGCAGTTGCGAGTTCAATCCCCTGTACAAAAAGAAAAACAAAAATTTGTGGTTCTCCTGCCTTATCCTGCCAAGTAGCTGAGATTGGACATATGTGCCACTACACTAGTTTTGCCTGGGTTTTTTTTTTTTTTTTTTCCTTTTTTTTTTTTTAGTTTTTTTCTTTTTTATCGGTACCGGGGATTGAACTCACGACTGCCTGCTTGTATGCCACTGAACTAAATCACTAGCCCCTGCCTCTGCTTTTTGCAACACCAAATTTATCACATCCTGCCAGCCCCTCATCTTGATAGTAAACACTCTGCCTGGAATCTGACTTGTGTTCCAACCCAGTGAAATTAAATCTCCCTAGACAGCATTCATTATTTTTAATACTTAATTTATTTAAAACTATTTTATAGCTCCTGCAATTTAATTTAAAAAGTGACTTTCAGGATGCCAAATGGGCCTCTGTTGCTAATTAGAGTGCATGGATCTGTATTGACAGGTATAAGTCTTTTCTTTAAAAAAAAAATTACTAAACGTACTGCTATGATAAATAAATTACTCAAGCTCTTTGACGTAGAGACAACCGGGACTGGGGGTGGGGTAGGGGAGGATATTTGCCTGCTTCCTTTGACTCTATTTTTTCCAGGTCCTGGCCTTGAGCTGGTTGGCCTGAGGTTCTGTCTGTACAGCATCTCCACTGGGTCCTCCTACCCACTGCTGGACCCGAGCCGGGCTGTCCCCCCTTCCCCTTCAGTGTCCTGTGAGCTGATGAGATGATGTATGTGAAAGCCTTTGTCAGCTGCAAGGCACAATCGAATGCCAATTATTACTTGCAGTTATCACTCTTATCACACTCTAGGGAAATCCTGCTGACCCCCACCCTCCAGCCCAAGCCTCCTAGGCCAGTCGCCGGCCGAGCCGGCCGAGACTCTGAGGCTACACTTGCTCCCACATGGGCAGAGGCTCCTGGCACACGCTGGTCTCCCCTGCTCTGGGGAGGGGCACTGTTGCTCCCCTCCCCTACTTAGTGATGGCTTTCCCAGTTCTTCCTGGCTTCAGGAGTCTTCCTCCGGAAGGAAATCTCCTCAGTTTTAGTGAAAGTTCTCGAGTTGCAAAATCATGCAGTCTCTGGGCCTCTCCTGGGCCCACCGCCCAGCCCCCTCCCCTCCTAGTGCCCAGTGGAGCTGGCTGCCCCGGAAGGATCTGACCGGCGATTTCCTAGAATTGTCTCACTGGAGCTCCTCGGTCATCCAGCTCCCCACCCACCTTCTCTACCTCATCCCACAGCCTTGCTTCTGCAAAGCCCAAGTGCCTTCTAGATGTCCCAGCCCACATCCTGCTCTTAACTTCTCAGAGCCCTCAGTTCTCTGTCTCAAAACTGTTCCCTTCTGGGGCTATCTACTACTCCTAGGAGGAAGAACTGGGGCAAGGGAGTCAACATGGTCACCAGGGCCCACAGGAAACCGAGTATGCTGTGGTTGCCAGAGCAACCATCTTTCCTTAAGGCCTCCTCAGTGTTTTTCATCCTCAGCTTGGCTGGTGAGAAGGACGTGACCATGCAGGCTCCCTCTCCCAATAAATCAAGTCTGACATGGGCCAAAAGGGGCGGATAGGAAGCACACAGGATCTAAAAGAGACTGGACAGGAAGGAAAACAGCTTATCCTTTCTTCATCCTTCAACCCGCCACTCGTGTATAGAGGATCATGCCTTGTGGCCCACCCCTACCTTCAGATCCACTTGGCGTGAACTCCAGGAAGAGGCAGGGAGGTCAGGGGAGAGGCCTGTCGGCACTTGATGGATGGTACTGAAGAAATGTCTGGCACTTTCTTTCCCCCTGGGGGAGGTAAAGCTGCAGCCACCTCTCCCCCGCATTCCTGCCTGCCTGCCTGCCTAGGAAGGGGGTTGGGTTGGGTAGCTAGAGCAGGGCAAGAAGGGTCCTGAGCCCAGCCCAGAGGCGTTTTGTGAACTATCACATTTGTCTGCACTGACATAGGGAATGGAGGGGTAGACAGACAATCCTCAAATCTCAACTGAGTTTAAAATGGACCCATATGTTCCCACTTCCTGGTTCCCAGGCCTCTCCAATTCCGTGCACACTAACAGTGTTACCCCTGTAGTACATGCCGGCCCCTGGGAATGAAGCAGTTCTTTATGTGTGCCCTGCAGATCCTGCAGAGTCGCTTGAGGGGTAGAGGTCAAATGACTCCCATAAGACTAGCACACTTGGCTTTGTGGGTGTGTTGTCCTTGGTGTGACAGGGGGCAATCCTGCCAAGTCCTTTGACTATCAAGGCACAGTGGTAAACTCCTTACCCCACTCTTCCTTACCACATGGTGAAAAGGGTATGCCTTTTAAGAATGTCCTTGATAAAGCAGTAAAAAATTAATATGTAATATGTTTATCATTATTATTTTAAATGAATTTTAAAAGATTTCTTCTTCTTTTTTTTTTTTTTTTTTTTGTACTAGGAATTGAACTCAGGACCTTGTACTTGCCAAATAGGCACTTACACCACTGAGCTAAATCCCTGGCCTCCAACCTCTTTTGGTGGTTGTTTTAATTTCTAATGCACCAACTAGGACAGATCTCACACCAATAAGGGCTCCATAGGACTCTCCATGGAGTTTCCACTATACTGGGCTATGGTCTCCCAAGATTGAAGATGCTAGCAGCCCTTTCCAGACCTCGCATTCCCTGTTTGTGAAATGGACTTTTTTTTTTTTTTTTTTTGTGGTGGTGGTGGTGGGGAATTGAACTCATGCTTGCCAGGCAGGCGCTTATATCGCTGAGCTAATCCCCAGCCCGAGAAATGGTCTTTTTGAAGCAAACAGTAGCTAACATGTTTGCTGGCAACCTTCTCTTTCAAGAAGAGACGCTGTCACTGGAATAAAGACTTTAATGGTCTTTGTGCACAGGAGCAGCAAGATGTCAGCCCAGCTTCTCCCGCAAGCCTGTGTTCACTGCAGGGTGCAGGGGTGGTGGGGACAGGGTGGAGCTGGAGAGGGTATGTGTGGCCTTGGTGGGCCAGTGCCAGATGGGCTTCCCTCACTCCCTCTCTTTACCTCCTAGTCTCTTTTCGCATTCCCATCCAGGCGCTAATTTCTCCTTCCAACAAGTCACAGTGTGGCAAGGCTGAGGAAGGGAGGAGATGAGGACTCTGCCTCTGCCTGGCCCCAGGCCAGGGAGGTGAGGGCACAGGTTCCTGCACATGCTGGTGTGGGACTGCGCGCTTTGGTCAGGCCTGTGAGCTCCGAGTTCTCCCCACACCAGGCGGAGGTCACATCTGGTGCCTCCCCCGGGGCAGCAGAGCTGAGCTGCTCCAATCACTTCTCCAGCCTTTCAGCTGCTGGGAGGGCAGGGGGCGGCTGACCAGGGAGGGGTGGAGGGACAGCAGGATGGCAGGTCAGCCTCGGGTGCTACTTCCCCGCTCTCCCAGGAGCCAGTAGGTGCGAACCTTGCCTTTACCCTGGAAGGAAAAAGAGGAGGCGGCTGGGGCGGCCAGTGGCACACCCACCTTCTCACAGGGAGAGGCGAGTGCCTTCAGCTGCTCCAGAAAGGTAACAGGTGGGTCCCAGCGGTGAGGCCGGAGCTTCCTCTTCTACCTTCATTTCTACATCTCCTCGAAGCTCCAGCTCAAAACCATCAAAGTCCTCCAGGACAGCCTTGGTCTCAGAAGACAAGTGGATCTTCAAGGCTGGGTAGGACAGGGGACAAGGAAAGTGAGGGATGTCTGGGATGTGAGCAGCAAAGTGCAGAAGGGACCCTATAGGGACTCTGTGGGTAGATAGAGGCCCTCCTCCTTTACCTCCTCTATATAATGTGTGCCCATACTGGGTCCTTTAAGACTTGAGAGCTGTGCTATCCAATATGGTAGCCACTAGTCACATATGCTTGTACCTAGTTAAAATTAAATACACTTAAAAATAAAGTGCCTTAAAAAAAATAAAAATTAAAAAAAAAAAAGTGCCTTAAACCAGGCATGGTGTCATCCACCTGTTCCTCAGCATTCAGGAGGCTGAGGCAGGAAGACTGCTTTGAGTTCAAGATCAGTCTTGGCTACAGAGCAAGTTTAAGACCATCCTGGACTATGGAGAAAGACCCCATCCCAAAAAATCAAACCAAGACAACAAAACAGAGAAAAAGAAAAAAAATTCAGTGCCTGAGTTTCACTGCATACCTTTCAAGCAATCAACTGGTACATGTGAGTAGAGTCTATGACACTGGACAGTACACATTACAGAGCATTTCCAAAACTAAACAGCTCTGTAGTGTCAGCTGCCCCAGGGGCCCAGGTCAGCACGCTGGTGAAAGCCTGCCATGTGGGTCTTCTCCACCATGGTACACTCCCAGCTTGGACACCTGCTTGGGTGAGTTATATAAACTGTGCCTCATTTTCCTAATCTGTGAAATGCTGATAGTGAAAGCACCTACTTTGTTACTATTGTGAGAATTAAATTTAACATTTGGGCTAGAGAAGCAGCTCTGTGATAGAGTGCCCAGGATGCACAAGGTCCTGTGTTTGCCTCTCCAGTACTGCAATAATGATAATGATAATAATAATAATAATAAATTTATCCTAATTTGATCAGCAGCACTGCAAAACAAATATTTAAAAATATTTAAACAGACCGTAGCGCTATGTACCTTGTTTCTGTCACCGTTATTTTATTTGACTCAATAGTCTCATTTTACGGCTGGGAAGCTGAGCTGAGGGTGGGTGGTCAGGGATGGAGGGGCCCTCTGGCCCACACCCTTTGGCTTTTCTCTGAACTCGTGACCTTACTTCTGAGGTCTGCATCACAGCAGCCTGTGTTGCTGAGCCATTTCTGGGAATGAGCTCCTAGAGGAATGTGAGGAATGGACCTCAGCAGGAGGCTCTCCTACCCCAGGCCCAGGACACACAGCCCAGAGAATGTCTGCTGAGCCAGCTCCCTCTGAGCACAGACTCTCAAGTAGCCTTTCTTTCCCAGCGAGTCTGGGGTGGGGTCCACATGGGCTTCTCACCTATCTGGGCCTGGCACTTATTAATTGGTCAGTGAATATGTACTGAACTGAAGTTGGGCATGGTGGCACATACCTGTCCCAGCACGCAGGAGGCTGAGGCATAAGGACTGGCAAAAGTTCAAGGCCTGTCTAGGCTACATAGTGATTTCAAGGCCAGCCTGAACTATGTAGAAAGATCCTGTCTCAAAAAAAAAAAAAAAGAAAAAAGAAAAAAAAATTGTTTTTGAATTGAACTGGGTCAAAATACAGGATGATTGACAAGAAACAGTAGGCAAGGCCAAGTAAGGGGTCAAAAAAACATTAATTAGATATTTATGGTACGTCAAAGATTGTTCTAAGATTTTTTTTTTTTTTTTTTTTTTTTTTGGTTGTTTGAGGCTGGTTCTCACTATGTAGCTTAGGTTGGCTGCAAACTTGTGATCCTCCTGCCTCACCCTCCCTAGAGCTGGGATTATAGGAATGCTAGGTTTTTTTTCCAACCCTGATATAGGGGTCACTATGGGGGAAAGAGACTCAGAAAGGTGAATGACAATTATGTCCCAGGTGTTTAAGACAGCATTCTCTTATCACCTCTGGGGGGGGGGGTTAATATTTTACTGTCTTCATAGTGAGGAAAACCAAGGTTCTGTGAGACACAGCAGATGAGCACGTGGCTGGTGAGCACACGCTGGAGTGCAGAGATTCACAGGCGAGAGGCCAGCTCTGAAGCCGCCTCCCGCACACCGCAGCTGGAGGGGTGAACCTTGGATGCGAGACTCCTGTGAGAACTACTGAACACTGGTTTGTGAACACCTTTTTGGCAAGGAGAGGTGTTCCTCTCATTCAGGATGATCTGCCCAGAGTGAACTGCAGGTCCCTGACTTGCCATCACTCCAATTTAGGATTTTCTGTTAGTGCAAGTATGACAGTGATGCAATTCAACAAGCTATTAATATTTTTTTTTCTTGCAGTACTGAGAATTGAAACCAGGGCCTTTGCTACATCTCTAGCCCTTTAAAAAATGTTTTCATTTTGGGATAGGATGTTACTAAGTTGCTAAATTGCCCAGCCTAGGCTTGAATTTGTGACCTTCCTGCTTTGGTCACATTTGTGACCTTCCTGCTTTGGCCCTCCTAGAGTGCTGGAGACCATGATGGCATGCACCATCATGCTGGCTGAATTTCGATCATTTCCTGGGCTAGTAATAGGCAGATGTTACTCTCCTATGGTTCTGGGCAACAGCAGTGACTGTGCAGGTAAATAACTGGTCCTCTGGATTATACTGTGTTGCCTGCATGTTTCTGGACGTTTTGTTTCCATCTCCCATCATGTCTACAAAACACTCATCTGTGCTTGTACAAGAAAGGCTTGACACTTTTTTTAAATAAAGTAAGCTCTGTGTTGGATGGTGGCAAGGCTCAGAGCACTTTTGGAGTAGGCCAAGCTAAGCCATAGTGTTATGCAGGTAGGTGTAATAATGTGTTTGCAACTTGTAATGTTAACTCATAAATGGATGGGCACTTGCACTAGCGAAGGGAGCTGGGGAGGAGCGAGCATAAGGTCTGCACAGCACGGCTTGCCCTTGGCTGCCGGCCCTCCTCTTCCCTCCAGGAGGGCATCCTACCTTCCCCATTCGACTCCATTCTGGAGGCCGTGTTGACTGTGTCTCCGAAGAGGCAGTAGCGGGGCATCTTCAGGCCTACCACACCAGCGCACACGGGTCCTAGAGGGCAAGGCCAGGACAGAGCCTGTGTTCAACAAGGGAGGGCAGCATACGGGAGGGACAGGAGGGGGACAGGAGGTTCCAGCTGTGTTAGGAGGTGCTGGGCCCAGAGACAGTTCCTCCTCCTGCAGGTCTCTGAGATCGGTGGAGGCCTCACCTGTATGGATGCCTATGCGCAGGCGCAGCTGCTCCTGTGGCCGATGTCGGATGCGGAAGGAGCGCACAGCCTCCAGCAGTGCCAGGGCCATGCGGGCCACCTCACGGGCATGGAGCCGCCCATTTCGAACTGGGAGCCCCGAAACCACCATGTAGGCATCGCCAATTGTCTCTACCTGGGGTGTATGTGGGGAGCAAGATGAGGCAAGAGCCAAGGGCCACTGCACCATGTACAGTGTCTCCAAACACCTGCTGCTGTCTGTCCTTGTCCCCCATCCCCGTGAATTCTCTGCCTACTTCTGGATCCCTTGGGTCATTGTCTCTGCCCACATACATACTCTGATCTCTTGTTCTGCCTGCTCACCTTTTTCTGACTCTTTCTGTGCTTCTGTGTCTGTCCCTTCCTATTCCTACTTGTTCCCTCACCTTGTAGACATCAAAGTTGTCTATGACAGCATCAAAGCAAGTGTACAGGTCATTGAGCAGGGTCACTACCTGGAAGGCAGGAAAAATCAAGAGGGGTGGGGAGTCAGGCCCTCACCTGGAGCTGGGACCTCAGGGACAGATATGGAAGTGACACAAATCAACTCGCCTGGCCTTCAACTGTGGCCAAGGCCTGGCTCACCTGCATGGGTGTGCTCTCTGCTGATAGCGCAGTGAAACCCACGATGTCACTGAAGTAGATGGTCACACTATCAAAGGCTTCTGCCTGGACAGTCTCCCCGCGCTTTAGCTGCTCAGCTACTGAACTGAGGGGCCATGGTGGGTGCAGATGACAGGGCGAGGTGAGGTGGGGACAGGGACTGCAGTGTGCAAGGGCTGTCCCTGGTCCCCAGAGCTGGGCACTCACTGAGGCAGGATCTGGTAGAGCAGAGCCTCAGCCTTACGCTTCTCTTCCAGGTAGGCCTGGGTGCGCTCCTCCACCAGCTCCTCCAGGTTGTTGGCGTACTGCTCCATGCGTGACAGCAGGTTGTCCAGGATGTTACTGCTATGCTCCCTGTGGGCAGGGTGTGGGTATGAGAAGGCCCACACCTCTGCCCTGGAGTGCCCTCCTGGGCACAGCAGAATAGGGGGAAAGGGCAGGAAGGAAGTTTAATTTATGTCTGAGACTCTGGCTCAAATATGGTGCTTCAAAAAAAAAAAAAAATACGGTGCTTCAGATACAACCACGTCTTGTTTGTGTTTTTTGGACTCTAGAGTTAGGAGGAGGTGAAGAGGTCACAAGGATCGCTAAGGACAAAGTGACAGGAACACAGGTAGCAGAGGGCTGTGAGGGAGAACTGGGCCCGAGGCAAGGGGCACATTGGGAAAGGGAGACCACGTCAGGGTGGGAACTCGTGGGAGGCTCTGGAAGGAGGTGGAGGTCAGGAAAGCGAGGCCAAATTACTTCGCAGTCTATGGGGCAGTGCTGCAGGAAGGGTGTGGAGTGCTGATGTGGCTGGAGGAAAGCAGGACGAATGGTAGGGGATCTGGGGACAGCCAAGTCACGGAACATCTGCAGAGGGCTGTGAAGGGGCTGTGTGGGCTGGAATGGGCCGCATCTACTGCTGCAGGGACAGACTTTCAGCAGCTGTAGTCATAGGGTAGGAGTCTGTGACTAACACCAATGACCTGTTAAACTTGCGCAGCGTCAGGCGGATCTGCTGGAAGGGTGGCCGCTCCTGTGGGTCCTCTGCCCAGCACCGCTGCATCAGCTGCCCCAGCTCCTCCATGTGGCTCTGCAGGGCCAGGGAGGGCCGGAAAGGAGGCTGCTCACCCCGGGTCACGCGCTCAATGATCTCTGTTGTGGGAAGAGAGGGGCTGAAGGGTGGGGCTACCCAGGGGCCTGCAGGGAGATGGGGACACCAGCGGGGGTGGGCTGGAAAGTCTGGGACCTGGGTAGGGTGTGGGGAGTAGGGCAGGATGGTCCCTGCAGCAGTGCAGCAAGCTGGTGGTTGGGCCTCTTCTAGAAGGAAGAGGTAAGGGTGTTTCCAGGGGTCTCCATCCTGGGGTCAGGGTTGGTCAAGACTTTGGTAGGGCTGGGAGACAATGTGGTTCTCTCACCTTTGGGGCTGAGATCCAAACCTTCCACGTGGAATACCCCACTCCTCAGGGCTATCTCCTGAAGGATGATGCCAAAGCTGTACACGTCACCAGCCTGGGAGCCCCGGGCAGGAGGAGAAGCCATTCGGAGGAACTCTGGGGCTGTCCACAACTTTTCTGAGGGTCAGAGGTCAAGAGTCATAGGGCAAAAAAAAAAAAAAGAGTCATAGGGCAAGGAATCTCGGAGCTAAGGGATAAGGGACTTTACATCCTACTGGGAAAAGAAAAACTAGCAAGTGAATATAATACCCTGTGACCATCCTAAAAATCAGAATGATGTGATAATGGGAGTGGGATTCAGGTGGGGAGCATCACGGAAAGCTTTGAAGGAGATGTGCCTAGGACAGGTCTAGTCCTATCACCCAGTGCTAAGAGCAAGAAGAGGCTGTGAGACCCTATAGTCTGGGCCCTCCCTCTTTATAGTGAGAACTGAGCCTGGAGTCAGGACAGGTAGGCCAGGCCTCCATCTTCCTCCTGGGGTGTGCTGGTGGGAGAGAGTAAGAGATGACCGTTGGGCTCACTGGCATAGAGGATGTGTCCTTGCTCAGGCTCTGGGTCCCTGAAGCTCTCCAAGCCATAGTCAGTGATCTTAAGGACAAAGCGCCCATCCACCACGCAGTTGGATGACTTGAGGTTCCCATGGGAGCAAATGGCCCCATTATGTAGAAATAGCATTCCCTGGGAAATTTGGGGAGGCACAGTGGAACTTAAGCCATGTCCAAAAGCAGGTCGAGTTCTCCCTGCTACCGCCCATGGGCTCCTCTGGGCCCACCTTGACGATGTCATTGGTGAGTGAATACCGGAACATCCAGTCCAGGGTGATGCTCTCATTCTCCAGAATGTCCTGCGGGGGGTGGGAGACAGATGGTACCCTGCAGACCCCTGGGAGTAGGAGGGTGGAGGGGCCCCACATACACTGGGCAACCCTTCGGGTCTACGCCAGTGCCATTGTCACCTCCTGCTCCCACTTTACTGAAGGGCCAGTGAGGTCAGAAACAGGGAGAAGCCCAGGCCTGTCCTGCTCACCTGAAGGCTACCCCGAGGACAGTACTCAGTGAGGATACAGATGTTGGGAGGGTCAGTGCAGGCGCCCACAAACCTGGTCAGGTGCTCATTCTGCACATCTCGCATCTATGGTGGCAGGGCGGGGGTGGTGGTGGCATAAGAGCCTGACAGAACTCATGCCTCCCCAGGCTTCCCTCTGGCCTTGGGACCACCCCCTCTTAACTCTCTATTCGTAGACATGACTGGGACTGAGTGTGACTCCCACAGTGTCCTTTAGTCCCCCGCCTGCTGAACCCCCAAGATCATCACAGATGAACCCGGAGCACTTTCCTCTAAGTTCTCCAGTGGTCTCTCATCTCATGACCAATTCTTTTATCCCAAGAGCCCATGCCCAGCCTGCATACCCTGGTTTTTCCAGGATATCATGAGTCCTGCCATAACCAGCTCTGTCAACCAGACTCCTGGTCTCCCATGAGTGGGACCCTTCCCCAGACCCACACCGCACTCCCACACATTACATGCTTCAGTTCAAACAGGACTTTCCGGGTCAGCTCAATGCGCTTACGGTTCACATGTTTCACAGCCACGAGATTGCCCTGAGTAAGAAATACCCAAAATGTAAATGAAGGGCAAAATTGAAGACAGCTAAGAGGAGGCAGGGAGATCTTCTTCAAATGGGAAGGGAAACGAGAAACAGAGGGAGGGGAGGAAAGGGGAGAGGGATGAAAAGGGATTGAGATGCATTGTGTACAGGTACCAACTCCACACGAAGAATGTCATCATTGTGGACTGTGAATATGTGCTAATAAAAATAAAAAGGAAACAAAGACTGCCACTGAGCCAAGCACCACCCAATGCCCTGGAGTGCCAGCTGCTCTGACAGCCCATGTTGGGACCCCCCCGCCAAAGAGCGTGCAGCCACTCCAGCCCTGGGCACCACCAGCAGACCTTCCCAACTCACCTTGTAGTACGCTGTCTTGGCATAGACTTGGAACTGGCCCTCTGTTGTTAGCAGGGAGCCATAATTGGAGCCTCTCTGGAGGGTGGAGAGCAGGAGGCATGGTCAGCCCCCAGGCCTGTTTGCATCCCAGTGAAGCCAGAAATCTTTCACTTATTTATTTGGAATAATGGGGACTGAACCCAGGACCTCAGGCTTTTTACTGTTTCTTTAGGGACAGCGTCCCACTAAGTCACAAAGTTGCCATCTTCCTGCCTTCCAGAGCACTGGGATTCCAGGCAGGTGCCACCATATCCGGCAAAGCGTTCTGGTTCTTTACCACCCTGGCTTTGCTGTGTATCACTGTCCTCTGTATTTCACAGCACGTGAGCCTCTCCTCCTTCACTTGCTTTGTGCTTGTGTTTTCACATTTTCTACTCCTGTAACCTCTGAAAGCACCCTGTGAGGGAGGCTCTGGCGTTAAAGCTGGCATCTGAGACTGTCTCAGAGAGGAACTGTCACACAGCAAGTGTGGGGCTGGGCATAGTACCCAGCTCTCTCCCCAATGCATCAGGCACCGCCCTAGGCACCCAGGCCTCCCACAGGCGTGTGCTCACCCCGCTCAGTGTCAGTCGGCTGCCGGCGCTCCGGAGGTGTCTCTCCATGCTGCTGGGCTGCACGTCCTCCCAGCGCACCCGCCACAGCTCCGAGGCCAGCTCCTTCTCCAGCTGCATCTTTCTGGACATGAAGCCTGCAGCTGAGCTCACATCTGAGACCCAGCCTGGGGAAGGGGGTTCTGAGGAGCCTCTCAGGGCCCTGGGACCGTGCCAAGATGAATAGGGATGCCTCCCCCTGGGCTGACAGAAGGCTGGGGTGAACTCCCTCACGGGGACCCTGGAGTAGCCTCTTCAGTGTCATCCCTTGGAAACCAGGGGCATCCATAACCCCTCCCCATGAGTCCCTATCATTCTGGTTTCTCCCAGACTGGGTCTGTTTTACCCTGGGTTCTAGGTGTCCTGGCATAATGGGGTGACTACAGAAGCAGCACATGTCCTGATAGTGTCAGAATCCCTCCCCCTCTCCATTTTCCTCCCTTTTGGGGTACCTGAGATTGAAACCAAGCATACACTACCACTGAGCTTCAGCCCTAGCCTTTTTATCTTGAGACAGGGTCTCACTAAATTGCCCAAGTTGGTCTCAAACTTGTGATCCTCTTGCCTTTATGTACTACTATGCTCAGTTTTATTTCATTCCTGTAAGAGGAATAAAAATGAAATATTGTGTGTGACACATGCCCGGAATCCCAGTACTGGGGAAATGGAGGCCAGAAGGATCACTGTGAGTTTGAGGACAGCCTGGGCTACACAGTAAAAGCCTGTATCAAAATACAAAATTTTTGAGACAGATTGCTGAATTTCCCAGGTTGGGCTTGAATCTGCAATCTTTCTACTCCAACCTCCCCGAGTTCTGGGACTGTAGGCCTGTACCCTCGTGCCAGGCAGGCCTAAGGTCTGAACCACTGCTTCCCGTCTGGCCTGTAGGAGCACAGGGAAAACCAATTCTAGATCAGAACCCACATTACTCTGCTGTTACCCCCAACTTCTCTGCACCTTCTAGCATCTCCCGACCTCCCAGGCAATGCCCATTCTTACCCCCCTCTCCTCTCATCCCATTTCCTTTTCCTGCTCCCTCTTTATATCCCAAAGCTCTCCCTTTCCTGTTGGGTCCCTGCGATCTCCCAGTGCCACGGCTCACCTGTATACAAAGAAGGAGACAATCAGAATGCTCAGCATCAAGAGGCTTCCCACCACCGCCAGCACCTCCAAGGTAGAAAAGTGGCCTGCAGCAGAGGCCAAGTTGGGGCAAGAAAGATGTGGGTGAGCATGAGCAACAAGTTCTAATAGTCAATCAGTAAACTGAGATGATAGATGAAGGGGAGAAAAAAATAGGAGGTGGTGTTGTCTCCACAAAAGCCTCAAGAGGGAACAGATTCCCCACTAGACTCCTTCCTGGGGAGGAGCAGCATTTCAGATGGGGCAGTCACCTTGGCTGCAGGCTGGGTCCTCATTGTCAAAGCCACATTTAGGGACATCAGGAGGAGGGTAACCCAGAGGCCAGTATAACTGACGTCCTGACTCGGCCACCAGCTTCTGGGAAGTCCCATTGTAGTTCAGCACAACCTATGGGAGAGCAGGAGTGGCATGGGCAGGACTTGGCTGTAGTCTCCTGGGGGAGAGGGCCCAGTCCTGCCTCCTACCTCGTATTTGCTGGCAACACCTGTGTCTGGGCAGCCAGGTATTGTCCACTCTTCTATGACCACATGTAGACAGGCCCCACACCCACACCCAAGGGTCTCAAGAGCCACATTCTGCAGCCTAAGCTATGAGCACTGCTTGGGAAGCTTTCACTGGAGGAACTGGTCCTTGCTGCCTGTGGCCTCAGTCTCTTCCAGTCCCTACTGCATGCACAGAGCTGAGCAGACACAGTCCGCCCAGCCCTGCGTTGCCCTGATTCTGCTAGGAGGGGGCCTGTCTACCCTACCCCTCTTCAGATACTGGTGCCCCAAGAGTGATGCCTATCATTCTGGTTGTGCTCCCAGACGAGGTCCCTCGTATGGAGGGCTCTTGTAGGTACACCAGCACAGCAAGGTGAACACAGAACTAGCAGATGCCTTGGCAGGGCTGTGAGGGACCTAGGGAGGTAAGATAATCCAAGCTGGCACTATCTTCTGTGTACATGAACACACCCTGAAGGCACCAGTGTCAGGGTCCACACTCCACAGGGAGAAGTCAGTCTCCCGGTCTCCACTGCTGTCGATTTTCAGGTATCCTGTCACACCTGTGGGCACAGGGAACAGAGGCTGTGTTGTGAGAGAACGGCAGTCCAGGGATGCCCACTTCATTGCTGTATCCCTGGTCTCCAAACACATGCATGTATGGAACAGGGTGAAAGGGACAGTTGCGTAGGCCTCGGGAAATACTGCAATTAGTGCCCAGGATGATCTGATGGAGTTTGAGGCAGAGGCATGGAGATGCTGTGGAGGGCCCTCAGAGAAGCCAGGAAGACAACAGTGTGGGTGGGGGGTACTATAGGGCTTCTGATAGCCTCCTGCAGGGGCACCTTGGATTTACTGTCCTCCAAGACAGTCTTTTCCTGCTGCCTTCATGCCCTGACCTGGGAAGCTTCGGTTCCACATCCTCTGAGTGATGTCTTCCCCGTTGGTGATGGTTCCCCCATGTGCCAGAGTCTCTGTCACTGCCTGAATGTAGAGCAGGAGACCATCGTGGAAGGAGGCTGGGATGATGTTCTCCTGCAGCAGGTAAGCGGCTCAGTGAAGGGATGAAGGAAGGGCCGTGAGTGGAGCTGCCTCAGGGAGGACGTGGTGAGGGGAGTGCAGAAGCTGACAACCACACCAGAGAGTTGGGACTGCATTACCAGTGGTATCTACCTGCCTGCCAGGCAGATCAGGCACTGGCTGATCTGTGTCACTGGCTGAACTTGCTACCGTCCCCTCAATTATCAGGATGTGGGAACAACAGAAGGGAGAGATGGGAAGACCCTGGAATGCTGGGATAGCTGAGAGGACAGGTTGGAGACCAGCAGAGGGTCACACTGAAGGGTCCCAGGACCCCCTCCTACCAGGCCATCCTCCATGGTGAAGTTGAACTGCTCAAGGGCCACGCGTTTTAGCTGCTTTAGGAATTCTGAGTACTCAGGATTATCCGGTTCTTTATATGTAATGATCTTGGCAGCCTGAAGAAGGGGTTGGTAAAGACCTGATGCCAATTCTCCAGTACCCTGAGAACCCACCTCCTGGGCCCACCTTACTGCTTAGGTCAAGGTCCAACTGGACCTCATGTTCAGTACGAGAGGATGCCTGTTCTTAAGCAAGGGATTCAAGTTCTGTCAGGTCTGAGACTTTAATGTCCTCCCACTTCAAGCCTCTGCTTCATCTTTTAGCCTCCTGGCTATGAACCACCCCTCCACTTTCACTGCTTAATTCCCTATAATCATCCATCAAGAGCCTCTTTTTAGCCAGGTATGTTGGTGCACTCTGGGAGGCTGAAGCAGGAGAATCTCAAACTCAAGCTCACCCTGGAAAACTCAGCAACTTGTGAGATGCTATCTCAGGAAAAAAAAAAAAAAAAAAAGCCATGCATGCCATTGTTCACTGGTAGGCCTAGTACTCAGAAGGCTGAGGTAGAAAGCATCCGGCAAGTTTGAGGCCAGCATGAACTACTTAGTGAGTACAAGACTAGCCTGAACTAAATAGTGAGACCCTGTCTTTTAAAAAGAAGCCAAACAAATACAAAAATAGATAAGTAAACAAGCAAGCGCTGGATATGAGCCAGATTAAACCTCTCCTTAAAAAAGGTGTGTAGGGGGGTGTTTGGGGGATGTAGCTCAGTATAAAAGCTCTGGGTTCAATCTCCAGTACAATGAAATAAAATAGACTTTTTAATGCAATACTTTCAGATACTTAGGACACAGTGAACAGAAAGAATGTGCTACAAGTTGAGTCCCACAAGCAGGGCCTAAGCAGGGCACTCACCTGAAAGGCCAGGCGGGCACTGATGTCTTGCCCATCCCCTCTCTCCCAGGGCCGGGGATCTGGGGCCTGCGACCCTCTCAGGCTGTGCCCAAAGATATCCAGGTGGAAGAAAACGTAGTCCTCCCCACTGAGGCCCAAGTCCAAGGCCAGAAGCATCAGGGTCCTGAAGGCATCCGGAGAGCTGCAGATGTAGATAACTGGAGGAGAAGAGAGAGTCAGAGAGTAGGGAAGGGACCTGGGGCATCGTGCAGATGCTGCTGAGGTTACAGTGACAACTCTGGGCTCAGCTGACAGGAGAAAAAGGAAGGTGGGAAGGAGGAGGAGGTGTGGAGTGGGGAAGGGGAAGAAGTACTGCTGGAGAAAGGGAGCAGAATGTGGGGCAGGTGGAGCCAGGCGGGGAGGGAAGGAAGGAAGGGCCAGTTGGAGAGGAGAGGAGAGGAGAGGAGAGGAGAGAGAGGGGTGTGGGAGCAAAGCGGAGGAAAGGCTGCAAGTCGAAGGCGGAAGGAATGAAAAAATAGGGAGAAAAGGGAAGAGAATGCAGCTGAGGACACACTAGGTGCCAGAAGCAAGCAAGTTTTCTCTGTCCTGTTAACCCCGGATGGTCGGGAGTTGGGGAAGCAAGATACCCATAGGGGAGTGGCAGGGAGTGCGTGGTGGGGAGAGAAATGGAAAATCGGGTAGGAAGGGCTGGGGAGGCCAAGACAGGAATGGCGCAGACCCGCCCAGTCGAGCAAGGAGACAAAAGCCCGCGCGCAGGAAAGGCACTGGGTGACGGCAGGCCGCGCCTCTCACCTCGTGCTTTGCGCTGAACTGTCCGCAGCAGTCTGGCGTAGTGGTTGTGGTCGCCCTCGGCGAACTCTACGTGGTCCACCGTGATGTTGAGGCGATCACGGACGCGCATGTACAAGCCCTCCACGACGAAGAAGCAGGGTTTTTCGTCGTCGGGCCGGTAGGCATAGGCCAAGAGCGCCCGGCGCTCCCAGCCCAGCCGTCGGTGCAGCGCAGCCACGAAGTCGCCGAGCTTGGCGTGGCTGGGCCCGGAGCGCGTGGTGAGCGCGTACTCGTCCTTGGCGCCGAAGCCCAGCGCTGGGGCGCCGGCGGTCAGCAGCGGCACGCGCCAGTGAGCAGTAAAGCGGCCCACCGGGGCGGCCGCGTACACGCAGCCGGGGCCCAGGAACAGCGCGGGGTCGTGCTCCCACTTTAGGTCCACTGCGGCCAGCGGCGCGGCGGTGTCGGAGCAGGCTCCCTGCGCATTCTCGCTGCTGCCCAGCACCGTGCGCACCGTCCAGCCCGGCAGGAGATCGCGCTGCGCCTCCACGCGGGCGAGGGCCAGCGCCACGGCGGGCCCCACCCGCGCCCACGACCACGGGTACGAGGTGTTGGTCAGCGGTAATACGACGGCGACCGTCAGGTTGCCCGCCTGGCCGCCCCGGAGCAGCAGCAGAGGCGGCAGGAGCAGAAGCAGGGCCTGGCGCGCCCGGGCGCCGGCAGGACGCGGGGGGCCAAGCATGGCTCAGCGGGCCGGCTCGCCTTCCATGGTCGCGGGTGCCTGGCTCGGCGGCGCGACCCTGCGCAGGAGCCGAGCGCGGGAGACTGGCGCGCCGCGGAGGGCGCACCGGGCAGGTGGGGGCGGGGCGGGGTGCAGCAGGGATCCGGAGGGCGAGTGAGCGCAGACGACACTAGGACTGGGAACAGAGAGCGCGGGCGCGAAGGGAGAGCGTGTTCGTGGGCGCGCGCAGGGCGGCTGGCCGGCTCAAGTCCCCGGCTGTCCAAGGGGGGGCCCTGGCAGGGACCAGAGCCAAGCTGCGAAACCTCCCTCCCAGCTGCTTCCCCTCCCAGTGCTGGGCGCTTAACTCCTTCCCCGCCGTCCAGCCGAGCGCTCGCTCTCTCGTGGTTCCTCCGCGCGGCTTGGTGACCCGACGGTTCCGCTCTGGGGAAGCTCCACGCACCGGAGCCTTCGCCGAAGCGGGAGGCGGCCGACGAGGGACGCGTGGAAGTGGCAGCGCCGTGAAGCTCCCCTTGGCTGTCCTGCTTACCTGACTCCCTCTGGGGAAAGCGAGACGCTGGTTTGAGATCTCGGCTGGGAGAGGTGCGAGTGTGTGGACGCGCGTGGCCTGGGTGGGGCAAGAGTGTGGTGGGTCCCCGGGAAATGCGTTGGAGCCGCAGGCAAACGAATCAGAGTCCCAGTCACCCAACCCATTAATGATTTCCCTCCCCCTTCCTCCAGACTGAGGATTCGTGGAGCAAAGGGACCAGGTGGGAGGTGGAGTTAACCCTTTAGGCCCCCCGCAAGACCGGGAGCGTGGAGGCGGCGAGTAGGTGGCCGTGAGTCTATGTGCACCTGCAGGTGTAACCTCAGGGCCGCTCCCAGAACGTAGTGTGGGGGCTGTGGTGGTGGAGGGGAGATGGCACTGGAAATGACCCTTGGAGACGCAAACCCGAGAGAGGGTTCCAAAGCCCTGACGGCTGCAACCCGGATCCTCAGCGCTGTGGAGTCAGTCTGCCCTCTAAGGGTCAGCGGACATTATTGATCGCCTTGCGCCTCCAAGCTCTCCAACCTTGCGCCTAAGCGGGTCGTAGGATCTGAAAATTGATAAGCAGATACTGCCAGAGGGTCCTCAACACCCACTGGATTCCAAGGCACAAGAACGTGCCTATGAGGACAAAGCATAACAATAGCATAACGGAGTATCTCATAAGCGCTGTTGCAGAAATGTGGATAAATTGTTGAGGGTCTCAAAAAAGGGGGTAGTAATTCTGCTTGAATTGAAACCAGGAATTTCCAAAGAGAATTCAACAATAGTAGAAGAAAAAAACAAAAACAAAAGTAGAAGGATGAGAAAGATACCTTGCTGTGGTAGGGGGAGCACTCGGAATACTGAAAAAAAAATACTGAAATAAAATCTTATATAAGTAATTTTAGGAGACCTTTGACTGTTCTTACCATCTAGAGCCTGGAGCCCAGGGGCCAGTTTCACATGTTGGTCTTATGTTCTCTCTGTATATTTTATTTAATTGCCTGTACTTAAACTCAGTACATAGGCAAAGTATAATGGCCTTTACTTGTAATCCCAGGACTGTGGGAGGCTGAATCAGGAGGATCACAAGTATGAGGCCAGCCTAGGCAACTTAGTGACTTAGTGAGACCCTGTCTCAAAAATACAAAAGGGGGGCAGGGGATTTAGCTCAGTGGCATAAGCGCTTTCCTTGCAAGCAGGCAGTCGTGAGTTTGATCCCTGGTACCGATAAAAACGAAAAAGACAAAAAAAATTAAAAAAAATATATAAAAGGGCTGGAGATGTAACTCATTGTGGAAGCCTTGGGTTCAATCCCCAGAACTGAAAAAAAATAAAGAATCAGCAGATGATACATGAGTATTTGGATTGTTGACTTTCCTTGGAATGCTGTAAGAGCTGGCAATATGGGTCCTACACATTGGACAAGCATTGTTGAGATGAGTCTGGTTCATCCTGGCCTGCCCTTTCTGCTTTGCTCTTCTTGCTTTGCTCACGGGCCTGACCTGCCTGGTTGCAAAGGGCCTGACCTGCCTGGTTGCAAAGGGATTTGTTGTCACCTCTGATCTGGGAAGCAAGGTGTTGCCTGCAGGGATGACTGCTGGAGAGGCAGCTGAGCAGATTGGCCACCAAAGCTCTTGCAAGTGACAGCATAGTATCTTGTCCTATAGAGGAAGGGGGCCAGACAGGAAACAAGGAGATGTTTTATCAGGAGGATTTAGGGAGTGAGGGTCTGGATGACTTTGATCCTACTAGTGGGGAAGCTCAAGAAGTCTTGGGAAAATGATTTTTTTTTTTTTTTTTTTTTTTGTAGCAGGAGTCAAACTCAGGACCTTGTGCTTGCTTGCCAGGCAGGCACTATGCCACTGAACTATATATCCCCAGCCCTGATAATTTTTATTGATTGAGTTTGAGGTGCTTGTAGACACCCAAGTAGAGGTGTCTAACAGATCTCTACATTGGTGGAGCTAATTGGACAGAAGATATGTTTGGACTAAAAATACGATTTAGCAGTTGAACTCCTCTCAAGAATAAATTAACTGTGGAGCTTCAGACCACTAAAAAAATTGGATTTCTTTTTTCTCAGTGCTAGTGACTGAATCCAGGGCTTTGTGCATGTGTAACTACCAGTGAGCCATATCCCCAGTCCAGATGAAAAAATATTATTTTTTACTTACTTATTGTACTGTAGATTGAGCCTAGGGAGGACTGACCCATATTCTCAGCCCTTTCTAAAATTTTATTTTGAAGCCAGCTGTGTGGCATATGACTGTAACTGTAGCACTTGGGAGCCTGAGACAGAAGGATTGGTACTAGTTTGAGGTCAGACTGGGCTCCCTAGTGAGTTTGAGATGGATGACATAGTGGCACATGATTGGCCTTGAGCTTGGTCTTTCTGCCTCAGCTTTCAGAATGCTGGGATTATAGGCATGTGCCACTGCACCTGAGAAAATGGGTGAAACTCTTGAAGTTATAGGCAGAGACTTTCTGAACAGAACCTCAGTTGCACAAAAAACAGTACTGAGAATCAACAAATTGAATCATCAAAATAAGAACCTGCATGGCAAAAGAAATGATCGGTTGAAAAGACAATCCACGGAATGGGAAAAGAATTTTGGCTGCTACTCCTTAGAGGATTAATCTAAATATATAAAGAACTAAAAAAATTAGACTCCCAAAGTAAAAGGCCTAGCCAAATAATAGGCACATGAAATGAACAGACACTTCTCAGCAAAAGAGCACAATGACCAATAAATACATGAAGAACTGCTACTATAAACACGGGTATGCATGTATCGCTGTAATGTGATAATCTGATTCAACTCAAGAAGACACCTAGAAGAGGAATATCTGCATTAAATGGAATTTCTAGTTATGTTTTTTGAAGAATCTCCATAACCGATTTCCATAATAGTTGTAGTAGTTTACATTACCATCAATAATGGAAAAGGGTTCATTTTTTCCCCAAAGTTTTACCAGTATTTTTTATTATTTCATTTCTTGATGACAGCCATTCTCTCTGGAGTAAGAAGGAATCTGTGTTAGCTTAATTTATATTTTTCTAATAGCCAGCACATTTCAGAATTGCTGAATTCTAGAAGCAGCATATATGCCCATCAACAGGAGAATAGATAAGGAAAATGTATTAACACACAGTGCTTGCCTATCATGGGCAAGACCCTGATTTCTTTTCTTTTCTTTCTTTTTTCTTTTTTTTTTTTTTTTTTGTCTTTTTTGAGACAGGGTCTCGCTATGCAGTTCAGGCTGGCCTTGTGCTCACTTTGTAGCCCTGGCTGGTCTCGAACTCGCAAGGATCCTCCTGCCTCAGCCTCCCGAGTGCTGGGATTACAGACATGAGCCACCATGCCCGGCTTAAGACCCTGATTTCAATCCCTTACTTAAGCTAAAAAGTAAAATTAAAAATTTTTGTTAGAAAGTCAAAGAGCTACTCAGGTAATGAAGATGTCTCCACCTAAGAGGAAAGGACAGGAAACATGATTTTACCCTGGGTCATTTGCTGATCCACAAGTTGTGGCAGAAAATAGTTGGGCTAGTGAGACAAAAATTAAAGTCCAGAGTTCCCCAAGGTTAGAAACCCCGACAGAACACTTTCCTGCTTTGGATTTGGTTCTGCAAAGGTGGGGTACGGTGCACTGCTGTACTCCCCAGCTGGGGGAGGTGGATCCGTGCGCGGTCAAGGCCAGACTGAACTGCACAGCTAGTCCCTGTCTCAAAACAACAAAACGGAGCTGGGAGAAGGATAAACCAGGCATAACTAGAAAATCTAATTCCCAAATGCTTAAAAACAAAATTTATGGCTGAAGCATGTTTAACAATGGATTAGACTGGACTGAGAAGCCACTGGTGACTTGCAAGAAAGGATGGAAGAAACCACCTAGAGTGGAACGTGGGTAAAAAAGGAATGAAAACCAAGTGAAGAGAGACGCAGACAGCACTGGGAGGCAGTCCAACACTTGTATTTGGCATCAGAAAATAATTAAAACTAAGTATTTGAGGAGATCATGGCTGAGAAATTTTAAAAACTAGGTGTCAGACACGAATTCAAGGGGTCCAGAGTTCGAGGCCAGCCTGGATTACATAGGGACATCCTGTCTCAAACAAAACAAAAAACTGATTTTTTTTTTTTTTTTTTTTTTAGACAAGGTCTCACTGTAGTTTAGGGTAGCCCTGAACTCACCAAATATCCCAGACTGACCTTAAACTCATAGCAGTCTTTCTGCCTCAGCCTCCCAAGTCTTGGAATTCCAGGCATGTGCCACACACTTGGCCAGATTAGCTTTAAAAGAAGGTATCAATTGTCTTCAAAGAAGCAACAATTAGTTTGACAACATTTTGTGTTTTTTTCCCACAATAAAAGCAGAATTCGGGGAATATAGTTTAGCAGCACAAGCCTGGCAAGTGTGAGAAACTGAGTTTGATCCCCAGTACCAAAAATAAATAAATAAAAGTAGAAATCAAAGGCAGTGGGATGATATTGCAATGTACTGCAAGAAATTAACTTGCAACCTAGAATTTCCTAGTCAGTGAAGAGTTTCTTCCAAAACAAAGATCGAAGAACTGGCCCTGGTGGTGTTGGAATCCTGGCACATCAAAAGCCCTGGGTGGGAGGATTGCAAATTCAAGCCCAGCCTGGGCAGTTTATCTATTTAGAGCTACCCAAAATATAAAAAGGGCAGGGAGTGTAGCTCAGTGAGAAAGCCCCAACTCCTCCTCCAAGGAAAAAAAAAAAGAAATGATTTATGAAGTGACTATTAACTTAGTGTGTATG